TAAATGGGTTTTAATCTGTGAAAAGGAAGCAGTATGCTCCTTCCCATATTTGGGCAGACCAGGTGGCTTCGATAGAAAACCCATTTAATATACGTGTGTGTGTGTGTATGTATACACACACATATATTTTAAGCAATGTTGACATAAAGTGAATAATCACATGACTACCATATGTTGGGTTTCAGTTCTATATGTATTTCATATATGATCATTAAGTAAATCAATACAGGTAGTCAAGTGTAATATCACATGACCATGACTTGTGAATTCCTGTCAGCTTCCCCCACTGGCTGTGAAGATTGTAAATGGTTGTAAATGGAGACCACATGACTGTGGGACGCTGTGACCCTCGTAAATGAACATCAGTTGCAAAGCTGCAGAATCATGATAACATGAAAGCAGGGATGCTGCAATGGCCGCAACTTTGAAGACTAGTTGTAAGTTGCCTATTTCAGTGCTGTTGTAACTTTGAACAATTGCTGAACAAGTGGTCAATAAGCAAGAATTACCTGTATATTGGAGTAATTGCTCAGAGTCACTTTGCAGAGTGAGAAATCATTTCTCACAGAATGCAAATAAAGATCCTTGAACTAATGACAACAAGTAGGACAGCCAACCTTAGAACCTGGTAGGGCACAAAGGACTTGGGAAAGATGCTCATGCCACATAATGTCTCTGTATCTGCAAAGATCAAAGTCATTCAAGCCATGGTATTTCCTGTGACATTTTATGGAAGTGAAACGTGAACTTTGAAGAAGCAGAATAGGAATGTGATTGAAGCCTTTGAACTTTGGTGTGGGAGAAGACTCCAGAGAACACAAGGGACAGCAAAGAAAACAAACAAATGGATCATCAATCCAAAGTTTACACTGGAGGCACAAATGACCAACCTCCCATTAACCTATTATGGACACATTATGTGAAGAGCTAAGTCTCTAGAGAAGGCTCTAATGCTGGGAAAAGTGAAAGGAAATAGAAGAAGGAGACGACAGCAGCAAGGTGGATAGATTCAGTTACAGTGGAAGTGAGGGCACAGTTGGGAGTCTCGAAAGATCAGGTTCGAGATAGATCATCAATCCAACTATCTAATCCCTGGGAGTCAAAAACAACTTTATGGTATTTAATCAATCAGTCAGTCAATCAGTCTCCTGAAATTCTGTTCTGATATGCTGGGGAGCATAAAAATCATTGTGGAACTTGGCCTGGGAGAAAGATGAAGAGTAGTGCTGTAGTTTCAAGCAAAGAGGCTTCAGTGGAAGGAATGCTTTTATTTGCTGTGGAAACAGTCTGGATCCAGTCTATTGTCTTAAAAGGGGGTTATTTTTTTTCTTTTTTGATTCTGACCTTTTATCTGGTGAAGGGCAAAATCCGAATGGGGTTGTAATGGGTAGAGTATGAATTGGTGCAGGGGTGAAATGCTGCCGGTTCGAACCGGATCACCCGATCCGGTAGTGATGGCGGCGGGTGGTTCGGAGAACCGGTAGCAAAAATCCCTGCCCCCCCCATGCCCAGCTGAGCCACGCAATCATCAGAGGCGTGGTTTTTTTAACTTTTAAAAGCATTTTTTATTTGGCTGAAAAAATGCTTTTAAAAGTAAAAAAAAAAAGCCTCTGATGATCATGTGGCTCAGCTGGGATCGTCAGAGCCTTAAAAGCATTTTTTCTATAACTTCTTCGGCCAAAGAGGTTGTAGAAAAAATGCTTTTAAAAGCTTAAAAAAAAAAAGTTGGCCACGCCCACCCAGTCACATTACCTCCCCCACCAAGCCACGCCCACAGAACCGGTAGTAAAAAAAATTACATTTCACCACTGAATTGGTGCTGGGCTGAAGCATTGAGCAGACAGGGAGTCCTCACTTACTGACCATTCATTCACAGTTACAACAGTGCTGAAAAATGACTTTACAACCAATATGTGACTTTCGCAGCATCCCTAAGTCATGTGATTACCAGCACAGTCAGTAAGTATGCTTTGTCCTGTGTCAGATCTGTGGGGGGTGGGGTTTCCACCCTTGTAGAGCAGAGAAATTGGAGAGGAAGGGATTGCAAGAGAGTAAGCCATGAATTTTTCTACACATTGAGAACAATGCAGTCACAGAGGAAATAGTCAGGCAAAGGAGAGATTGCCTAGAGAAATTGCTTGTTTTTTTCCCCTTCCCTCACAGAGCAGAGATTGGGAAAGAAGAAGAGAGGATTTTAAATTGTTTGCCTAGCATACCAGCCTCTTTCAGCCCCGGGCTGTGGCCTGATCACATTACTTTTGATGTGTACAAGACGATAAGCAGGCACCTGAGCATTCCAAAGAGCAGGGAAGTGGTTAGAAAGCAAAAAAAAGGCAAAGATGTGAAACTGAGTGGTTTTGCCTTTTTCCACCACTTTTGCAGTCATGTGATTTCCCACATAGCAATTGCTTCGCTTAACCGCAAGGTTTACTGATCCAGGTAAGGTCATTAAGAAAGGACTATCTGTAGTGTTTTAAAGAATTCCATCCCCTTCTTGTCTACAAAAGAGATGTTAAAATCCTACCCCAGGTGTGATTGCAAGCTAATTTGGATTTCCGCATTTTACTAGAAAGCCTCTAAAAAAAGATTGGAAAAGAAGGTTTGCTACTGTAAAGGGTGTACAAAGAGCAATAATTGTTGTCCTTAAAGAGAAATTGAAAAAAACTATATTTTTAAAGCCAGTATCTGGGAAATTTATGAGTCAAAGAAAAAAGCACTAGAATTTTCATTAAAGCGACAACTGCATCAGTTAAAGAAAATGTGTATAAGAGCAATAATTGTTACAAAAAACTGTTAACATAAATGGATACCAATTCCTCCTGGTGCTTTTTTTTTAAAAAAATAAGCAAATCCATAAAAAAGAAGAAAACCCATACGCCCTAAGAGGTTGTAGAAAAAATGCTTTTAAAAGTAAAAAAAAAAAAACCTCTGATGATTGTGTGGCTCAGCTGGGCATGGGGGGGGGGGCAGGGATTTTTGCTATCGGTTCTCCGAACCACCCGCCTCCATCGCTACCAGATCGGGTGATCCAGTCCGAACCAGGAGCATTTCACCCCTGAGCCACGCCCACCAAGCCATGCCCACAGAAACGGTAGTAAAAAAAATTTGGATTTCACCACTGCAACCGGGGTTTCTTAACCCAAGTTGCAGACTCACTTGCCATGTTTGTTTGTTTGTTTTTTGTTTGTATTGCGAAACATGTACGCGATAACAGAAATAGAGCTCTGGTGGCTCAGCAGACTAAAGCACTGTTATTAACATCCACTTACATCTGCTGCCTGCAATTACTGCAAATTCAAATCTCACCAGGCTCAAGCCTTCCATCCTTTCTAAGGTAGGTAAAATGAGGACCCAGATTATGGGGGCAATAAACTGACTTTGTATAAATATACAAAAGTATGAAGGCTATTGCTTAACACATTGTAAGCCGCCCTGAGTCTCCGGAGAAGGGCGGCATATAAATCATTTTTTTTTTAAAAAAGTATAAACATGGATATTAATACAGGAAATGGATATGAATAAAAGGGGACAGTAGGACAGGGACGGAAGGCACGCTGGTGCACTTACAGTATGCACACCTCTTACAGACGTCTTAGGAATGGGGTGAGCGCCACAGTAGACAGTTTAAGGTTAAAGTTATGGGGGTTAGGGTTATGGTGGAGTGTATTGTTCTTTGAATATGTGGCACCAGGAAGGAGTCAACTCTTGAGTGACCACATGGGTTTTTTTCTCTTAATAATCTTTTGTTGAGGAAGGGAGGGAGGGGGGGAGGGAGGGAGGGAGGGAGGGAGGGAGGAAGGAAGGAAGGAAGGAAGGAAGGAAGGAAGGAAGGAAGGAAGGAAGGAAGGAAGGAAGGAAGGAAGGAAAGATCATCTCAATATTAATCTTCAAAATTCTTTGCATTGTTATATTATTAGTTTCCAATTTGTTTTGCTTTCCCACAAATCCACCATGTGTGGTAAACTGCCCCTTCACATTTTTCATATTTCCAGCATTAACAAGAAGTACCTTCATATATCTCTGATAATTTCTCTGGTGTCCTGCCAAAGGTTTATCTTTTTGTGAAAATTCTCTCTTAACTTAAAACAGGGTGTGAATTTCGGTCCCTTTTTCCACATTGTCTCCTACTGGTCCATCTGTATACTATAGCCATAATTCGTACCCCATTTTATCATTGAATCTTTATGTTTATTGAATTCACAGTCATGGTTGCCCCAAAGGTGCTTTTTCAAAAGGCAACTGGGCTTTCTTGTTTTTTTCCTTGAAGATGTTCCGCTTCTCCTCCAAGAAACTTCTTCACTTCTGACTGAATATAAATCCATCCATTCCCACCATTCAGCCAGAATTGAAAAAGTTTCTTGGATGAGAAGCAAAACCAAAGAAAATCTAGTTTCCTTTTGAAAAAGCCTCTCTGGGACACACAATCCTTACATTAAAACTTTCTCTTAGTTGTGCATATGAAAACCCTTGAAAACTAAACCCTTCTGCAGTTCATTACTCTCTTGACTTCATCCTGAGCTGTTCATGTGTTCTCAGGAACACAAAATGCCAAAACCATCAATACTCATTCTATCTTGGTTTTCTAAAAGTTGGTATTATTTCAGCCTAACCATGATGTCTTATCACGCCTTGAGCAAGTGAGGACACCTCGGTCTCCTGACTCCATCTTCTCCTCTGTTCTCTCACCAAGCTCGTCACAATCTTGTTAGTGTTGCACTTTAGCCAAGCCACAGACCTTTGTTGCCCAGCTCTGAACAAAGAGGGAGGACTTTCCTGGTGGGCTGCAGGCCAAATGCCCACTGGGTCTGGAGCCAACGCAAATGTCCCTTGTTTGGAGAACGTCAATGGGTAAGGTCAGCCTGCCAGCCGGGGCCCTCATGGCATCGGGGCCCAGCCAAGAAAAACCCCGTTATCTTGGTGGTTGCATGCCTGGATGGAGGTTATGCAAGCCTCTGCAAGGGTGGGGGAGGTCATGGGGAGCCCCTTAGGCTCTATAAGAGCAGGAGCCCCCGCAAATGCCAGTCACCTGCCTCCGAGTCTCAGAATATTCTTCGGCTGAGGAAGAGAAAGGACCGAGCGAGATGAAATCCCTGCTGTTTGCTTTGGGCGTTGCCCTCTGCTGCTTCGTCCAGGCTGAATGGAAAGAAGTGACCAAAACCAGCATAGAGGTAGACCGAGGTGGTTGGAGCAGGGCTGGCTTCCTTTGGGATAATTGATCAGGGGACCCCAATACTGTAATCTCATATATGGAAAGGGATTGCTACTGCTGACCTGAGAGATTTACTAACGCTGAAGGTAAATTGCGCCAGGTCTCCCCCCCCCACCCTTCTCTCTCTAGGCCAAAGGACCAGCCAGAGGGATTGTGGTAGCCCAAGGGGGGTCCCTCCAGACTGGGGAAGATTGTTCATCTCTCCCTCAATCTGTGACTGAGAAGACTTGGCTCAGGGTCTTGGGGGGGGGGCATCTGCTTCTGCATCTGCCCCATGTAAACGCTCTTTTAGCAGGGAATCAAATCGAAGCAGTGTTTGCATTCTCCCCTCAGTTGATGGGACAATACAAAGAGATCTGTTTGTTGCGGCTGCATCTAAATTCTAGTCCAACGCCCTGCTGAGGCAGGAAACCCTCTATCATTTCAGACAAATGGCTGTCCAGTCTCTTCTTAAAACCCTCCAGTGATGAAGCACCTACAACTCCTGGAGAGAAGCCGTTCTCACTGTCAGGAAATTCCTCCTTAGTTCTTAGGTTGCTTCTCTCCTGGATTAGTTTCCCTCCATTGCTTCTTGTCCTGCCTTCGGGTGCTTTGGAGAATAGGTTGCCCCCCCCCCAAGTCTATCTCCTGAGCAGCAAGGCAGGACCCTTGACTGAAACTGGAATTGCAAAGGAGCCTGGTTTAGCTCAACAGACAGAAGCACTGTAATTTAACACCAGCTGTCTGCAATTAAAGTAAGATAGAATCTCGCCAGGCTCAAGGTTGACTCAGCCTTCCATCCTTTCTAAGGTAGGTAAATTGAGGACCCAGTTTGTGGGGGCAATAAGATGACTTTGTCTAAATATACAAAAGTATGAAGGCTATTGCTTAACGCACTGTAAGCCGCCCTGAGTCTCTGGAGAAGGGCGGCATATAAATCAAATTAAAAAAAAAAAAAGCTGTGGAGTAGCTTCAATGGAGCGCCTCAAGTGAGCAGGTGGGAGGCTGGTCCCTTCCAGAGACTTAATGTGGCTCTTCTTCCTTCTTTCTGCTTCAGGATCTGGGTCGCTGGGTGATTCTTGCAGTTGCGGGCACTTCATTAGACAATGTGAAGCAGATAAGAAACATGTCGGCATTAGTTGTTGAGCTGTCAAGACCACAGGAAGATGTGTTTAGCGTTTCGGTCTTTCTCCCCACGTAAGTATCCTAGCTCAAGCCAATCCCTTGTGGACCAACTGCAATGCATTAGACAAGGCCATCCCAAGTGCCCAGCAGGCTGGAAGGGTGGATTTCTGAGGCAATTTGAAGGAGCACACTGGGCTTGTCCTATGAATTCAAGGCTCAAGTAAGGGACAGCCCCATGCCAGTGCAGGAGAAAGCCCAACTAGCTTTGAAGGAACAGTGAAGGTATCTGTTGAGGTTCTTCAGCCACTGACACAAATACTTTGATCCGGTTGTGATTCTGAAATGCTCAAATTAGCAGGACACCAGTCTGGCAGATGTTCCAAAAGACTAAAATGTCAGAAAGAGAGGCTGTAACTGGGCAGCCGGACTCAGCTCGAGCAGCTGGAAATGCTCACCAATCTGGCTTCCTTAGCAACAAGCCTTTAATCAAATGGAGGGAGGCAGAAAGAGGCCTCTGGGAAGCCCACAGCCAGGGATAGTGAAAGCCAGATGGCCGTAGCTGGGTGATGCTTCCCACCAAGTTGGACAATCTGGAAAGCCTTCCTCGATAGGTCAGTTCATATTAATGTTCAGCAGTGGGACTATTGACTGTCTAGGGCAGGAAGCCTCCCCCTTTCATGCCACCTTTTCTTTTGCAGGCCGAATGGATGCAAGAATATAACATGCCAGCTCAGAAAAGAAGAGAATGGAAAATATCACAGCCTCTCTGGTCTGTACTGGTGAAGGGATGCCCTGTGTTCCTGCTTGATTCAGTCACCCGTGAAAACTGGGCCCCGGGGAGGGCTTTGCTCCCAACTCCAGCAAACAGATGCTGGCCAGGAGCTGGTGGGCAACCCCATAGCATCTCTTCCAGGTTTCCTGCTCTCTTAGGACCGCCTCTCTTCAGGCACGCTGGCCTTTGGGGACACAGTCCACGTAAAGGGATCGGGGCCCCAGGGCCACTGCAAGGCAAATCCATCCGTCAACAGATTGAGAGAGTGAGATGGAGTTTGCCTCGAGAGGCTGTGGATTTTTCATCGCTGGAGGTTTTTGAGACTGAACAACCATTTGTCTAAAATAGTAAAGGGTTGGACTAGAAGACCTCCAAGGTCCCTTCCAACTGTGTTATTACATTATTCTGACCTTCCAAGAACTGCAGTTGCTCCTTCGTAAAGAGTATATATTCTAAATTTTATTTTATTTATTATTTTATTTTTCAGATTTCTATACCACCCTTCTCCTTCCGGACTCAGGGCAGTGAACAGCCAAATATAAAACATTCATACACAAAAGTTAAAATAGATTTAAAAATAATTAAATAAAATTTGGCCCATAATTTAAAACATTTCAATTAAAATCAATATCAAATTTAAAACCAACCATAAAATCAGGACAGCCCGGCTAACTAAAAAAAGTAGGTTTTAAGGACCCGACGAAAAATCCGGAGGTCTGGGATCACTCGTATCTCTGGGGGTAGATTGTTCCAGAGGATAGGTGCCACCACAGAGAAGGCTCTCCCCCTGGGGGTTGCCAGCTGACATTGTCTGGCCGACGACACCCTGAGGAGGCCCTCTCTGTGGGAGCGAACTGGCCGGTGGGAGGCAATTGGTGGCAGAAGGCGGTCCCGTAAGTACCCCGGCCCTTTAAATATTTTAAAGCCATATGTTATTTCAAAATATAAGCCTTTCCTGCCTATCTATCTTTTCCATTGAAAAGAGATGACTGGGAAGCCTTGACTCCCCTGATTCCTGGGGTCCCAGTGCAAGTGGTGGGGGGGGTGGAGGGCGAGAGAGGTGAAACAGCAGCTTGGATTGTCACTTGTACATGAACTACAGGGGTCCTATTCATCTCCATTCTTTGAGGACACAAGGAACCCGAAGGCTGGAAATAAAGAGAACGTCCTCCCACAAGGTCCCAACCTGTTCGGGATGCAGCAAGTTGCTATTTTTGTGGTTCAAGGGGGAAAAGCCCAAGGGGGAAAGTCAGACTGTCGGGCTGCCCCTCCTTCCTAGGAGCCCAACCAGGTGCAGAAAGTCCATCCTCCATTTCGTTAACCATCTCAAAATACTACATTATAAAGGGTGAAAGGATGTTAATATTACTATTAGCTTCTATATTTAAACTGTAATTTCTGCAGTTTGATTTTATAATAATTACACATCCTTTTCTGATAGGTACGCACTGCTCTTATCTGTAATATACCTGAAACGGTCTGGAGACTTATCAGATAAACTGTTCTGCTTAATGAGCCAACACTGAGTTCCGACTTCCAAAAGATCACCAGCTTGGCTAGAGTTGAGTCTGCCTGAATCTCCCCCTCATGTCCCAAACCTTTTCTGGCAGATAATAAAACGGTGACGGTGAAGTCAGTGAAGATCCTAGACGATTTCATCATGACCACCTTGGAAAATGACAACTCCACAGCCTCAACACTTCTCAGTAGGTGCTCCAAGGCCCATCGTCCCTGCAAGGTGGAATTAGGCTGGGCTTTGTCATCACCTTACCTGTCCTTATGCATTTCCCTAAAAGTTAAAACTCGGGGCTTCTGAAAGGGTTAAGAGTCTGCCCAGCATTTACTTATCTGGCAAAATCCTGACACAATGGGAAACCCCTGATTAAGCCTGCCACCCCCACTCCCCTTCCCCCTGGAAATCTTCCCCTCTTCCCCATTCAGCACACACACCTGCTCTGCCTCTGTCCCCACAGGTCGGACACCAACTCCGAATCCAGAGATAATTCAGAAATTCAAAGAAGAATGTAAAAAGCTCGGCTACAGCGAAGCTCAGATTGCGGTTTTAAAACCAACCGGTAATGCAATTCAGAGCAGAAAAGTAACGAATAGAGGAGAGCAGGTTTGGTGGAAGGGTTAAAGCCTCCAGGCTAGAAACTGGGAGACCTGAGTTCTAGTCCTGCCTTAAGTATAGAAGTCATTGGGCTGACTTTGGGACGGTCCCTGTCTCTCCCTCCTGGCAAACCACAATGAAAAATGTGGCCACAAACACAGCAGGGACCTGTCCAAGAAGTTGGCTCAAAGGCAGAAATAAAGAGAGATACATGATGGATGGATGGATGGATGGATGGATGGATCTAAATAGAGTCCATACACGGGAATGGACTTCTTGAAATCTCTTTTGAGTCTTGTCTTATGTAGAAAGATGGGTACAGATGGGTGGTCTACATGCAAAGGGAGGGGGGGAGTCATGTTGGTGGGCAGATGACCTAAGAATTTACCTTTCCTTGCAACGCATCTTGCATTCATCCTATTCGCCATTAACGGCCACCTTTTCTCCTCCCCAGTGAAGTGCCAGTAAGAATAATAGGTGAGTTTTCTAAGATGGGTCACCCCGTTTACAATGCCAAATCCTACCCATTTGCATGAAAAACAGGGGGAGGGAGCACCCTGATTCTACTCACTGACTCCTTTCCTTGCAGGTGACCAGAGGCCTCGAAATGGCCGGGGGCAACAGCTGGGCATGTTTCGGGCTTGGCTCAAATTCCAGGGAGGAATCTTAATAAATGGACTCAGAAAATGCAACTCCTTTCTCCAGTGTGACTTTTATTTCCAATGGGGCCATCTTGATCTGTGGCTTGGAGGTGGGAGAGGGTCCAATGGGGGGAATGAGGGGCAGCAGAAGACCTGGATTAAAAAAGGTAGGGGATGCAAAATAAGGGGGCTGGGCAGCAGAATAGCTGGCCCACCGGACCACCCCAGGCTCTTCCTGCAGGACTTTTGCCCAGTGGTGAAATCCAAATTTTTTTACTACTGGTTCCATGGGCATGGCTTGGTGGGCGTGGTGTGGCTTGATGGGCGTGGCTTGGTGGGTGTGGCAAGGGATGGATACTGCAAAATCTCCATTCCCTCCCTACTCTGGGGCCAGCCAGAGGTGGTATTTGCCGGTTCTCTGAACTGCTCAAAATTTCCGCTACCGGTTCTCCAAAACCTGTCAGAACCTGCTGGATTTCACCCCTGCTTTCGCAGGGCAGGATTGCTTCCTCTGCACCTCAACCCTCTGACCCCAAAGGAGATGTGGGGCAGATGGTACAATCCTTCCCCTGCTGGGGAAGGGTGAGGTGCTGGGCAAGGATGGGGCAAGGATGAGTTCCGATCCCTCCAGCCCAGGAGCTCCCCAGGGGCTCCAGGACAGATCCTAACCCAAATGGCCCTCCCATAGCTGGTGGCTACTTCTGCTTCACCTGGGAAACTGCCTGCAGGCCCCGCCTGGTGGAGGGGGCTAGGTGAAAAGAGGGGTGAACTGGGAGCCTCTTGTGAGGGGTGGGATCCCAGTCCCCCAAAGGGGAAAAGTCAATGGGATCCAGCCCTTCTCAGGGTCACTCTGCCTGCTGATCGAGGCAAGAGTACAGGGTGCTCTCCAACCAATCCAGGGGTGGGTTCTAAATTTTTTTACTACCGGTTCTGTGGGCGTGGCTTATTTTGTGGGTGTGGCTTGGAGGTCATGTGACTAGGTGGGCGTGGCTAGCTGGTCAGAGTCATTTCTGGAAGGTCCTCACACTTACGACCGGTCCTTGCACTTACGACCCGACTCATTTGTTTGCTTTTAACACTGATCAGCTGTAGGACGGCCCTTTGAAGCCCTGCGGCAAGAGTTTAAACAGTTTTTTTCCCTCTAGTCATCAGCTGGGACTCAGGAGGCAGCAATAGATTGGGGGTGGGACCAAATAAAAGGTAAGAATAAAGTGGGTGGGGGGGGGAGAACCAGTTCGGTGACGTCATATCATCACCGCTACCGGCTCGGCCGAACCGGACTGAACCGGGAGGAACCCACCACTGAACCAATCCTCACAAATGAGGAGGAAGGATGTGGCTTTCTCTGAGTCCCAGAGCAATTATGGGCAGTGGGAAAGCGGGAAATAAAGCCCCCCCCCCCGGCTGGAAACTGCCTTCCTGCAAACAACACCGTGGGACTTTTGGGTTCAGAACACAGCCTGGTAGGGGGTAGGGCTCAGTTGGGCAGCATCCCAAGAGGGCCACAAAGCAAGATTCGGCCCCATCACAGATGTGGCAAAGAAGGGAGGGGGAATGGCCCCCCATGGAGGCCCATCTTTCTTCCCAATGTTGGGGCGCAGGAGGGAGATTGTGGGGTCCTTGGTGCTCTCTGAGCTTCCATGTTTTCTTACAGACGTTTCATTACCAAACTAGGTAACATCATCCATGCACACCTTTGTGGAAGCATGAGACTAAGTGCAAAGCGTCTCTTTGGCATCAGGAGCCTCTTGCGCCCTCTGGACTAAACCTTTGCATTGGAACCTGCGGCCTGCTCTGATTCCAGGGGGTCGCAGAAGGGAAATCCTCATGACTGTGACCCCCACCCAGGCTGCTCAGGAGGGAAGGCGATGCTTCCAAGCTCTCTCTGCAGGGAACATCCCATCCGGATGTGTTCCAAAGGGCAGCCATCCGGGGCCCATTTCTTCTGCCAATGGTCCATGCAGTCCTCCTTCCATAGCTTCCTGGACAAGGGTGGTTTCACTGGAGGAGCCTCCGGAGGATAAAAGGGGCAAGAGGCGAGGCTGATCAGCCAGAGGGGCAAAAGGGTTGCAGCCATGAAGCTCCTGCTGGGCAACCTCTTGGCTGGGGTCTGCTGGCTGAGAGCCGCAATGGACTTCCCCACCATGTCGAACTTCAAGAGCAAAAAGGTCAGAGCTGGGAATCCTGGACGAAAGTTCTTCTCCTCCCAACTCTAAGTGGAAGAGGGGGGGACTGGGGGGTCCCTGGTGCTCTCTGGGCTGGCTGGCAGACATTTTACCACCCAACTAGAGAACATCATCAGTCTTGCAAGGGTTGGCTCTCATTACACATGGTATAGAGGAGATGATGCTGTTCTGGGCTCAGGGTACTTCTCCACATTTGGGAGGAGAAGCCTCAATTGCTGCCTCTCTTCTGGGCCCCAGAGAGGCGTCTTCTGCACTGCCAGATTTTCACCCAATTTCTTTTGGCCGGTTCTTTGGTGTGTCTCCAGGATTCAGAACCCTCTTGTGGTGGAAAGCAAGAACACCTCCCTTCCCCGAAGGGCTCTGCTTCTGGCATGGAGCTTCCCCAGGTCTGGCAGGAAGGATTTGGACTTTGGAGACCCTTCAGGGCTAACAAACCCTCCTGGTTTCTCCTTCCAGATTTCTGGGGATTGGCATCCTGTGGCAAACATTGTCATTGAAAAACAGTTTCCCCAATATACATTAAAGGCCGCGCCGAAGGGAGGTCTGTCGTACAGCTATAAGTATCTTGCGTACATTTTGGGGGCTTAATGCCCTCGCTGGCCTGGTCTCCCATCCCCCAGAGGGCAGGTGGGTGGGGGAAAGCCCAAAGGAAAAGGTAATCATTCCATGCTTGGGACTCCCATATCCATCATCCCCTCTATTGGCACGATGTCTGGGGTCCAGTTAACAGCTGACTAGGCTGTTCTCTGCAACACTTCTGCTGAAAGCGGGCTCGCTTGGGTCCCTCCACCTCCACCCCAGTGGTGAAATCTAAAATTTGTTACTACCGGGCGTGGCTTGGTGGGAGGGGTAATGTGATTGGGTGGGTGTGGCCATTTTTTTTTTGTTTTGTACTTTTAAAACCATTTTTTCTACAACCTCTTCGGCGATGAGGTTGTAAAAAAATGCTTTCAAAAGGCTCTGACGATCCCAGCTGAGTTGCCTGATCGGCAGAGGGTTTTTTAAAAAGCCTCTGATGATCAGGCAACTCAGCTTGGATCAGAGGCATTTAGAGTCGAGGTGGCGCAGTGGTTAGAGTGCAGTACTGCAGCTACTTCAGCTGACTGCTAGTTCAGCAGATCAGCAGATCAAATCTCACCGGCTCAAAAGTTGACTCAGCCTTCCATCCTTCCGAGGTGGGTAAAATGAGGACCCAGATTGTTGGGGGCAATATGCTATTTAGTATACTGTCTTTGGTGTAAGCCGCCCAGAGTCCTTGGAGAGTGGGGCGACATAGAAATGTGAATAATAATAATAATAATAATAATAATAATAATAATAATAATAATAGAAAAAAAATGTTTTTTTTCTTTTAAAAGCCTATGAGGATCCCAACTAAGCCACGCGATCATCAGAGGCTTTTTTTTTTTACTTTTAAAAGCATTTTTTGCCTGAAGAGGTTGTAGAAAAAATGCTTTTAAAAGTAAAAAAAAAAAAAGCCTCTGATGATTGTGCAGCTCAGCTGGGCATGGGGGGGGCAGGGATTTTTGCTACTGGTTCTCCGAACCACCCGCCTCCATCTCTACTGGATCGGGTGATCCGGTCCGAACCGGGAGCATTTCACCCCTGCTCCAGAGGCTTTTCTTGAGCCTCCAGGAGGGTGAAAACTGCTTTCCCTGGGCTCCGGAGGCCCTCCGGAGGCCGGAAACAGACCCATTTCCAGACTTCCGGAATCCTTTTTTTGTCCTCCCAGACCTCCCCTGCACTTACCTGGAATGATGAATGGGAAGTGTAGGGACTCCTGGGAGGGGAGGGGCAGGGAGGGGCAGGAGGGGTGGGGTGGGAGGGGCATGGCCAGCCAGGGGTAGTATTTGGGGGTTTGCCGAACCCTGGCAACCCTTGGCTAGAGGAATGCCCGAACCCTGCCGAACCCCCAGGAGCCCACCCCTGCTAATATGGACAATTAAAGGGATTGGATTTTTATTGATTTGTAATCCCTGTTTACAAAATAATAATAACTGACAGTAGGAAAGCAAGAATTTCTTTGTGGAGTCACAACATGGTCTGTTTTGCATCAACAATTTTGAATATAAATCAAAATTATAAAGTGATTTAAAGCTTAGAGCTTGCTGACTTTAAAATGTAATTCACTTCTGAAATGTAATCATTATATACCTCTTTTACACTACAGCCAATTGCTTCACATTTTCCTCCTCTTCTAATTAACAATAGGGATTTACTTTAGGTACAGTTTTCCTTTAATTTAATCCTCAATTTAGCAGCCACTTATACAATAGCGGAAGCTTCCCAATTACATATGCAACAAATTGTTTCATTAAGCTGTCATTTGTAAATTCATCATTTTAACATAACTAGGCTTATGAATGGGAGAAGTATTTGCATGTTTTTAAGCAGCACCTATTGGCATAATCCTTGAGTTATGTTTACATTTGTTTTACAAAGAGAAACTACAGCATTTTATTAAAACTATTAGAAAGATAAAGTTTGCATTAGGGAATGCCCAACAGTGATGGCTAAGTCAAGCTAATCCTCCAAACAAGCTAATCCTTAACTGAAGAAAAGGTGCCTCCTATAATTAGCCCATATTGATTTCAGTTCTTTATAAAGCAAAAGACCTCTACTTAAAATGTAAAAGTTCAGATGTTTTTGAATCAATCACATATATAGCCCTGTCTTAGATAATTTTCTCTATACTCTTCATGGGTTTTAATTAAGATTTAGCTATTGGCTTTAGCATTTTTAATTACCGTATTTTTCGGAGTATAAGACGCACTTCCCCCCCCCCCAAAAGAGGGTGAAAATTTGGGTGCATCTTATACACTGAATGTAGCCGCACTCACCCGCCGGCCCCCACCCTTTGCCCTC